TGGAAGCCTTTGGAGCAAATGCTTTACCATATAGGACAGTAGCACGATGGATTCAAGCATCTCGTCTTTTTTCGTCATTAAGCCTTTTCAAAACATGCTTTAGAGCGATGGAAACGAAACTCCTCACTTTAACGCCACACAACAACTACCCTTCTAAGCTAATCGACTTTTTTTTGCACTCTACACATCGACAGCAGCCCCACCTCACAGCTCCCATATCTAATTTGCGCATGCCCGTCCTTCTGTGAGTTTAAAGGTTAAGTTGCCACTATTTAATTTACAACCCTCGTATGTTAAAAACTGAATAGCTTATAGTAAAATTTAAACCAATGACTAACGCTTAACCAATCAAAAAATTACATTTCGTGTTTCGCTCATGAATGAATTAATATTTAAAAAAAAACTGTATCAACATCAAGTAACTACAATTTTTAAAAGAAAAATTTATTTGATCTTGAATGGACGAACAAAAAAATAATTGAACAAGATATAGAGAACTAATAGTAATAATTGAAAAATAAGCTTCCTCACACCAAATGTATATTCAAATCTTTCTTCTTTTTTCAGATGTAAGAAACATGTTAATTGTGACCAATAGGAAGTTTGCGATTTCTATTGTTGCCACTTATGTCTTACTCGTCAAATGGTTTTTACCTGAGATAATGAAAAACAAAAAGCCTTTTGATTTAAGAAAAGTGATTGCTGGCTTCAGCTTCATGCTATCCACTATCAACGCCATCGCCGTATACGAAGTAAATAATTTACATTACAGGAGATTTGAAGGGGATTATTCTCATTGGAGGCGGTTTTTCCGCATGCGAGTCAGAACTTCATCGGTGAAACGTGTTTGGCCACGAAAAATTGGCTAATCAAGTTCTGACTCACATGCGAAACATGACGCCTAGTGAGAATGGTAATGCCTTTTTCCTGATTTTTATTTTCTCTTTTGCTTTAAAAAGTGATTATTTATCCATCGCTGCCGAAAAAAATTATCTCTGTCCAGATTTTCGTTTGACATAGTGTCAAAAACAACAACAAAAAAAATAATAGTTTAATAAAATTTAAAAAGCAAGAGAAAAAGATTAGAGTTGCAAGATTGGCGATCGCAACACTCGAATACGCCATCTAGGGAGAGACCGGTTTCATGCCTTTAGCCCTTCTCCCTTCCCTCTCCTCCTATTTTCAGTTGTATAGGAATGTACTACGATATTTTCCCTTTTCTTAATATTTTTCCTTTTTATTTAATAAAAATACTTTTTAAAATTTCCGTGGTACCTTTCTTTAGAACTATGTTTAATGCAGTTTTCAGTTCCATATAGTTTCCCAAGTTAAAAGATTTTAATCTATATGAAAATCAAGAGAGAAACTAACCTACTTCCTTCCTCTATGACTTTCCACACGCTAATGGGGAAAGCATGTTAAGTGTTGCCATAGGTACAGAGTTCTGCTCTACGCCACCTGCAGCCCATTTCGATCGCCAATATAAATCCGAACGTTTATGTCGAATTTTTTTTTAAATTGAAAGTCTCAAGAGGTTTAAAATTAAACTGAAAAATAATGAAAATTGAACAATTTGAATAAAGTCTTTATGGTTGTGGACTGTTAACAAATAAATTTAATCACGGAATTCTTACAAAACGTTCATAAGGATTCTGGAGTATGGCCATTTCTTTATTCATTCTAATTTATAAAAATACACTATCTTTGCTGAAAACTATTTTCTGAAACTACAAAAAACTGATTGTAGAATTCGTATTACAATCTTGCCAATTACCATAATACCAGTATTACCAAACTTAATTAAGTGTCATCTGCGTAAGGCGATTTTTTACAGTTAAGCAAATTTCCCATTACCTTTTCCAACCAATTTAAAAATTCCATTTCCTTTTTCGATCATCCCTCTCGAACGGTTTAACGGAGATTGACCTTCCTCGTACATCGATCTCATTTTAGGGAGAAAGGGAAAAAACTGCTATGAACAATGTAAATTTTTCGAAGTTTAAGGAAAATTTTTGTTCCACACGACGCAGAAATGCGATTCAGCAGTACAACTTTCTTAGAACAACCAATGAGAGTGTAGGAGAAATGACTATACTGAACAAAGAATGGAAATTTCTCAGTGTAACATGCTTCTTTACATTCCCACATGCTAGGCACCCCCATGGAGTAAAAGAAAACTATTCGTAATGGAGTACAAAAGGGCTTATGCTGTTTCCTGCAATGCTCTCAACAATTCGCGCAACTCTTTTATTTGACTGCTGTAACGTTGCTATTATCAACACTATATCAAAAATTACATTAACGAGCTTCGACTGTGTATATATATACAGTCAATTCGCTATAACTCGAAGTACGATAACTCGAATATTACTATAACTCGATTTTTTTATGAGGTCCCGATCTTTTTATCTTCAATTTCATGTTAATTATTCTCGATTACTCGAATTTTACTCCCTTTAACTCGATTTTTTTTGGATCTTTTAAAGCAAGAAAAAAAACCTAGGAGCTGATATCTTGCCCCTTCCTTTGCAACACACACACAATGTCTTTCGCACTCTTCATGGAGAAGCTAAAGCTGTCCCTCTTGAAGTATGTGAACAGTGGTTAAATGAAACGTTACCAAATTTACTTCAAGGATACAGTTAAAATGATGTTTTCAATATTGATGAAATGGGTTTATTTTTTAAATGTCTTCCAAATAAGACTATGATGTTTAAGGATGAAAACTGCTCAGGGGGTAAAATGAGCAAGGAACGTTTGACTGTCCTAGTTGGAGGAAATGCGTCTGGGACAGAGAAATTGCCCTTACTTGTTATCGGAAAATACCGAAATCCCCGATGTTTCAAGAATGTAAAAACGTATCCTTTGGATTACAAGTCTAACAAAAAGTTTTGGATGACATCAGTTTTATTTGAAGACTATGTAAGAAAATTGGATCGGAAATTCTTCGCTAAAAAAAGAAAAGTGATACTCTTTATGGATAAATGCACAGCGCATAGTGATCTACCTAATTTGAAAGCAGTAAACTTGCAGTTTCTCCCGCCAAACACAACAGCAAAGTTGCAGCCGATGGACCAGGGTATCATAAAGTGCTTCAAACAGTCTTATCGAAATGGCTTGTCAGAAAAATGATCTTAAATATTGTAAGCAATTAGAAGATTTGCAATTAATAAGCATTAATTAAATAATCCGACAATATTTTGGAAAGTCCAAAACCGAAACTAACGGTAAGTCGAACTTCCGATATGTCGAAGTTTTTCGTCAGTCCCATCAGATTCGAGTTATCGCGAATTCACTGTATATAGATATATAATATCATCGGTGATTGACAAGATCACATAGTCGCGTAGGTGAATATCCGAAATATTTGTTATATCCGATTTGAAATTAACTTATTCGTTGTTGATATTATTATTTATTCGATATACTAATATCTCCTGAGGATAGATTAGGAGAAACATCAGTGTTAGGAGCACCGGGCAAATGTATATCGGGCAATGGCGCTGAACCTTAAAAAAACATCAGTGCAGGGTATACCGGGCAGCGGAACTTAACGAGACCTGGTATATATTTCGAACATTTACCAAAGCGACTCTGTGACTGTCAACGTTCTCTGGTAAAAGACAAGAATCGCTTAATTCGGTCATTTTAATATTCTAGGAAGTTTTATTGTCGTGATTCATAGGAGTTTCCTGTCATTTATAAATTCTAACTTGTTGAGAGCTTAAAACGAATTAATATCAAAACATTAAGTATGTTATCCCTTATTTGTGTAAAATATACACCGTTTGATATTTTTTGGGTTGCATCATAGTATGCTTGCAAAGTTTGTTCACTGAAATTTAAATAGAAATAATGCGTTATATTGTAAACACTATTGATATTATAATATTGGATAGTGCTTTTTCGAATTTAGGCGTAAAAAATGGAAGTTGTAACCCGGAAGACTTACCACGAATTTTAACCCCTAGCTCTATCTGTGCATAGTTTTACACGATCAACTTTTCATTTAAAACTCCTTTTTTTTAAATTCCAGATTACTCAGTTTGTTGTGAATACTTGGTACTTTAGATGTGATGTAAGATCAATTCCCCCTAACATTTTTGAGGTACAGAATACTGCTTTAAATATTTCGAGAAAATTGTTGGATAAAATGATGGTAACCCTATTTCTCTTTACAGGCAGGACGACTTTTAATGTATCACGCTTATTTAGTAAGATTCATGGAACTAGGTGACACGGTGAGTATTTTTTTATTTTATTTTATTCATTTGACTGTGTTCTAAAAAGAGCCATTTTCACCGGCATGTGATTCCCTCATCTTCGATCCTAGACGAGGGAGAACCTAATTGGGTATACTATAGCCTACGTCACAGGTTGTGTTATTCCTACTAAATTTAACCCATGAACGGCATTTTCTGCGAGCCTAACTTCAAGCCACAAATAAATAATCGAAGTGTTTGATCGTTTAAATAGCTGCTCGCCAGATTTTATTGCATTATAAAGAAAAGTAATTGATATTCGATTTTTGATTAATAATTGATTTATGTGGATAGTGGCATAGAATTTAGCATTGCGTTATGGTAGATGTTATTCCTACTAAGTGGAAGTAGTTGTGTTTTTTTTTTATATTATACCCAATAGAAGAAATGTATTCTCCCGCGAATAATCGCCAATCGAGGTTCTCCGTTTCTTTAATGCGATGCGTGCATTGTATGCAGTGAAAATGGTCCTTAAAATAAGACGATATGCGAAAAGTTCTCGTAAGCGATTTCAGAGATGAGGTAAATAATGATTAACCTTATTGGTAGGTGGGTACATTCATTTACGTCGCTCTAGAGTTGCACAATAGGCTATAAGCAACGGTCTGGCAAACATCCCTGTGGATGATCTGGAGACAACATATATATATATGTCACGTTTTACACATATTCTCACACCATTCATTCGCAGATCCAATCCTCAGATTTAGCGTGCACCTATGCACGCAAGGAGTCTTCGGCCGGCGGGGATGAACCCAGTGCTGTACCCGCCAGGCTATTCCGACCCTTCATCTGATTGAGGAAATATATTGACCAGTGGAAAACTCGCCAATCAAGTTCGCGAATTCACTTAAGCGATATTTCTCTCGTGAAGTAAGTTCAAAGCATACTACCTAGGAATAGCGAAGTTATTAATTAAAAACAGCTAAGTTTGCTAAAAGTTATTAATAAAATAAGTTGCAGACTAGAAAGTGATTTTTTTTAACGTTCACCAACTTATATCATCATTAAAAATTCCCCACCCACGTTTTTCTTTTTATGTGTGGCAAAAATAAAATAATCTTCCTTACATCCGTGGTTCTTAGTATTTTCTTTAAATTTGCATTCTTTCCTTCTTTTTTTTTATCTATAAAAGTAACTTTCAGTGAATGAAACTGTTTTTTTCTTTTTTCATCTATGAAAGGGACTATTTTTTACACGCAATCGCAACGCTCGAATACGCTTTTTGGGGAAAAGACCGGTTCCCTGGCTTGATACTCACCCCTTTCCTATCCTCCTTTTCTCAGTAGTATGGAAGTGTACTACGATATTTTACCCATTCTTTATGTTTGTCGTATTTAATTGTCACAAATATTTTTTAAAATTTGCACGGAAGTATGTTCAATGTAATTTTCAGTTCGATATAGTTTCCTAATTCAAAAGTTTTCAATCTATTTGAAAATCAAGAGAGAAACTAACGTACTTCCTTTTCTTACGACTCTTCATGCTCTACTATTGAAAGCATGCGAAGTGAAAACTTAGGAGCACTCTCCTGGCCAAATTTTTGGGACCATGTTCCCCAGATTATGGCTACCCCCTATATTTGGGCGGGGGGGGGGGTCAGAAATCTGAATCCGTAGTGAAAACGGTATGTTTATTCAGAGAAATCTTTCTGACAGATTTCGTAACTTATATTTGAGGCCCGCGGACCATTATGATTGAGTCCTAGAACGTGAATGTCTGATCATCCTACTTCAAGTCTGGGGTTCGAATCCTGCCAATGAACATCGCTTTTGAGATAATGCTCAAATATGAATAAATGTTACGATCTCAAAACAGCTAGCATTATTATAGGTATAAAATGCGCTCTTTACCATAATAAAAGAACCTTCGAAAAATGGCCTTGTTGGCGCATAACCGGCTCCAATGGCTAAGTAAACTGTTTTTTTATTTTTATTTAAACGGCTTAAAACTCCTCATGCACCACAAAGTATAGCATGCGGCTTACAGCTGTAAGTAGAAAACAAAAAGAAGAAAAATTTACAAATTTACATTAAAATCCAAATTCCACAAGGCCGCAAGACTTTCAATACTTTTGACCAGTTCTGATAAGACAGGTGGCCAACAAATAGAAAGAAGTCTCAAATCAGTCTTTAAATTCATTCGGGCACTCGCATACAGACTACAATGAAGAAGAATATGTTCAGCATCTTCATCAGCATCACCGCAGCACAAATTCCACTGGTCTGCAGATGGAAACGAAATAAATATCTCTTAAAATTTCCATGGTTTGTTAAAATTTGGGTCAATTTAAAATCAGTTGCAAAGAATTTACATTGCAAACGGTGAAAAATGGATGGAAAGAACCTTTTCGTCCAGAGCGACCGAGGCGAAGCAAGAAATTCTGCATTCCAGTCCGCAATGATTTTATCTCTAGCGATGCGCTTCCAGTGAGAAGCTGGAACAGACACCCTTAAGTCTATTTCACCACACGTAGCTTCCCTAGCCAATTGGTCTGCTCTTTCATTGCCCAAAATACCGCTATGGCCACGAACGTAAGAAAAATGAATAGTTACGTTTTCAAGAGCGTTCAAAATCGAGTGAATTTCCACCACAAGCTTCTCAGTAGAAGTCGTGTCACGCAAAAGAAAAAGTGAAGAAAGAGAATCTGTACAAATGAGATATTTAAAAATTTGGTTTTCACTAAAAGAATTTTGTATCCANCTCACACATCGACTCAAACAAAGGCATTTCTGACGGAGCGAAAGATCGAACTGATGGGTCATCCGCCGTACAGCCCTGATTTGGCACCCAATGACTTCTTCTTATTCCCACACATCAAAAATAAATTACGTGGACAACGATTTTCGACCCCCGAAGAAGCGGTTGATGCATTCAAAACGCATGTTTTGGAGTTACCTCAATCGGACTGGAAAAAGTGCTTTGAAAATTGGTTCAAACGCATGCAAAAGTGTATTGATCATCATGGAGAATATTTCGAAAAACAATAAAACCAATTTCGATCCTACATATTTGTTTTTTTCATTATTGGATCAGAAATATAAATAGCAGTCCTCGTATTCGCACTCAGATCACCTCACTGGAAGGCGAACCTACAAAAATTAAGAATCATTCACACTGTGAAATTCGCGTATGCGAATAAGAACCCGATTTCAGAAATTCATCTTCCCGCCAAAAACTCGTCAATCAGGTTCCAGTTTCCAAATTCGCATGCACAATTTTTTCTCTTACAGTGAGAATAGCCCAGAAAACATTTAAATTTCTTTTTATGGTTTTTCTGCAAATAGCATGCTATTTTTCTACCTGTGGGCAGTTAATTAAGGTCAAATTTCTATATCTAAATGTAGTTTGACACAAATGTTACAAATATTTAACAGTGTATTGGCGATTGAAATGGGCTACAGGTGGTGTAGAGCAGAACTTACATCTCGTAGAGCAGAACTCAGTGATAGACAGGCCGACCTCTATCCCCGTGAGTTCTCCCGACTGGCGGCTTCCGACTTAATTACTTTTTGTTGAAATTTGCTTTGAATCTTCGTTTTTTTAAGGAAAATATAAAAATGGACGATTTTTAATTAAATTTTATTTTATCTTTCACATTGTTTTCCCTTCTCTAAGGAAAATAATCCTTTTTTTCTGTCTGTTCTATTTGACCACAATAAGATAGCAAAGAGGTTGAAGGTCACAGCATAACCACCAGTAAAATTTCTCGAAACTGATAATCACTCCACTATCTTGATCAATTTAGTTTTTATCTAATATATATATATATATATGATTGAATTTTGGATTTACTTCTTGGGGTGGTTATGTACAGTGAGTAAAAAAGAGCACCCAAAACAACTTTTTTTATTCCCAATTACCAAACTTTGTTCCATGCTTCGAGTTCGCTCCATTCTGTAATAGTTTCCTTTTATTATAATTAATATTATATTTATTCATTTTTAAAATAATAGGGGTAATCTTTTAAATTTTTTTTAATTAATCTTTTGATCGGAAGTTGCAAAGAATGTCTGGAGACGTCCATTTAAGATGGATTAAGAAAAATGACAGTGAAGGGTACGCCAGGTATTGCATACCCTTCATGCTAATCCAAAATCTTGGAAAACAATCTTGCTGTAAGGACGCAATGTAAGGTTACATGCTTTTTGGGTCTGATATATAGCAGAAAACTTTTTTAAATGGATTTTTCTAATCGTCGGTCATTTTTGGTGTTGATATTAATGTTAATTTATTTATTTATTTTATCTCTAGCTTACTATACTTTGCTTGCGCTTCATGTTAACACCTTAGTTCATACTATAATGTACTTCTATTATGGATTGGCAGCAATTGGACCACACATGAGAAAACATCTTTGGTGGAAGCGTTACTTGACTCTTGCACAAATAGTAAGTGACTCTCGATTAATAAATTTTCACAAAGACCAACCCATGATGAGTGTAAATTTAAACAATAACTAGGCTCTAAAACCGAAATGCAACAGTGACGACTTCAGAGCTATTCTCATTGCAGGCGGCTGACGTTCCTCCTATCACGGTCGAGAGAAAAAGAAAACCTGATTGGAGAGTTTTTTTTTTTTTATGCTGGGAAATACTGTATGTCACCAATCAATTTTTCCTATTCCACGACGTCGGTCGGAGGTGCGTGAATCGATATGCAATGTGAATGACAGTATTGGTGTATCTCACCCCTTGCTAAGACAATATGTGAGCAGGCTCGATATTCTAGATTTTATTATTGATAGGTAGGTACTTTATTTACGTGCCCCTAGAGCTGCACAATGGGCTATTGGCGACGGTTTGGGAAACATCCCTGAGGATGATCCGAAGACACACCATCGCAATTTTGAACCTCTGCGGAGGGGAGGGCTCCCCTGCTTTGGTAGCTCGACGGCCTGCTCGCGAAGTCGAGCACTTTACGGTAGAACAGTTTAACGAGGAATGATACCGCACACCCTCGATCCCTACGCAGGCTGATCGAAGTGGTTACCCACCCGCTTACTGACCTCAGGTCAGTGATGTTTGACTTCCGTGTTCTACTAGGAGTTTTATTATTGTGATTAGTTCGTGCGTTCTAAAGAGTTAATTCGAAAAAGAACTGAGCTATAAATCGGTTTAAGGAAATTAATACAGCAACATAGATATTACCTTTGATTTTCTGTTTTCAACTAAAATTAAATGGATTCTCACATTTAATTGTAAATTGTTTAAAAATAATAACAATATAGGGTTACGTGTTTTAGGCTTAGTCGCAAAAATAAATCGAAGTCTTACTACGATTTTTAACCACTAGCGCCACCAGTCTTGAGCTCTTAACAGTTTATAAAAACTAGACTAAAAATGTTTCTTTTCCAAAGAGGATAATAACGCTTTTAGCACCGGATTTTATTCTTTATGGACTGTGACTCTTCTACTTTCGTATTGGTTAATTACTCTGTAGCATTAGAGGAAGGACGTGAAATGTTGCCTTTAAAATGCTTAGAAGGAAGCCAAATTGTCTGCTTTATTAGAAGAATAGAAAAATTTATGTTCTATACGGCCTTCCTAAACTCCCACTATGTTAACTAGTTAAATGTTCTTTTCACTTCTAGTCAAGAAATAAGTGGCTCATGTTATGTTATAAGTGGCTCATGTTATGATAAGTGGCTCATGTATTGTTTTTACGCTATATAGGCATCCATTGGTTAAATTAGCCGATACGTAATATAAGTTCGACGATTCGATAAATGAGATGATAGATTATATAAAGATAGAATCTTTATTATATCAGGTATATTATAATAATTAGACCAAATTAATAGACGCACTGTAGTGTTTTAATAATGACACGTTTTGCACGAGTTTATAGGCAATACTTTTTTTTTTAAACATATGTAATGGGTATTTTATTCAAAAGATTTTTTATATACTTCTTATGTGTATTTATTTTTAACGTATTGCCTTACAATGTTAACTAATTGATAAACGAATATAACCAAGTGTAAATAGGTTTCACCCCCGCGTAAATACTGCTTAGTATCACTTGAAGATTTTACGTAGAATCTTATAAGTGAGTCGAATAATTTGTCCACGGACTGTAAATATTACAAAAAGATAATCTCTTACGCCCTCCGAAAATGGCGTAAGAAAATATCTTTAGTAATCGATAAAGATATTGGTCGATTCAAATAGAAAAAATTTCACGTAATCTTCCATTTATAGTGTTCATCATATTTGTGTATTTATCATTTTCTATTAGGTATATCTGTACAATAAAATGATTTGATATTTATAACAGTATTCTGTAGCCACCCTGTATATTTTAAGAGACAGCCTGAATAAAATATACTTTACTTACACTGACATTTTTGCTTACAGACTCAATTCGTATACATCTTATTGTACGCTTCTTACGGCTATTTAACTGGATGCGAAAAGTTTACAAAGATCGACTGGGGCTTGTTTTATTTCACATTCGCTATTTTAATTCTGTTTCTCAATTTCTACATAAAATCTTTCAGTGTGCAAAACTCTCACAAACATAAATAATAGATGTATCAATAAAAACATTTGTAAATACCCTGTGTTTATTTCATTTATTCGATAAAGTGCCCATTGGTTGGTTGAAGAATATATATATATATATAAATTTTTTTTTACCTGAATGAAAGAAAACTTTCTTCATGCAACTTGCGTTATTCTGTAAGCTCGTGTTGTTCATCTGGAAATTAATTTGTAAGTGTGCAGAGATGCCAACTTGCTCCGGACAGCAAATATATTTTTTAATGTGGTAGTTTATCAATTGTAATTCTTGGTTTAATAATTTCAATTTAGTAGATTTTTATCCACCACTATTTCTAAATAATTCGTAGGCTTATATAATTCACCACGTTAAAGTACTAATGTCATGCTGTACCTTTTAAATAGCTAGCAAATATAGTCAAATATTTGCAAAATTTACTTTGAGTTACTTACCGTTATTTAAATTATTTTGGCGTCTTCGGAGCAGTTGGCATCTCTGAGTGTGTGATGAATAAATTGTTGTAAAAATAACTCATTAATTCCTTTTTTTAGAGAATAAAAAAAGAAAAAAACCTTTTTATTGTTAGGATCACTTTACAAATGCACTGTATTTATATTTTATCAAACGCAATACTTTAAATTTTATAAAACGATCTCGTTTTTGATATAACAGATTTAAATGTAAATTTTTTTTTTTTACATGAATTGTATTTGCGAAGAAGTAAAATTATTTGATTAATGAACCAATCACAAAAAAAACGTAACATTTTAATACCCTGTTTTACTGGAACGCTATTTTGAAGAATTAGTTCTATTTAACTTTTATTGTAAGAAAACATAAATTGTTTTATCTTGGTGATATTCTCTAATAAATCAATCTTGATAAAAGAATTATTTAAACTTTTTTATGAAGATTTTTTTTTAGAAATTAACAAACACATATTATTTATTAGAAAAAAAATTAGAGTATTCAAAAATGTTATCACGCTTAGGTAATAATTTTTTTTCAAATGAAATAATCGATATTTTTAAAATTTTAAAGTAATCGGAAGCTCGCTAATGCCAAAAGTAATATTTATGTGCAATTGATTTCAAGAGGGAAAAAATACACAATCGAAGGGATTTTTCTTTGATGACCTATGTCACTAGTTTTAAACTCTAACTCTAGATTATCTTATAATATCAAGATCATCTGCAAAACCAAGAATTTGTGTATATCTTTGAAAAAAGAAAGTGTCTCTTACATTGATTCCAGATGCTCTGATTACTTTTTCAAGTGCGATATTAAATAGAGGGCAGGCAAATGCATCTCCCTACCTCAGGCCTCTATCAGTGTAGAAGGGCTCGGAGAGTATGTTTTGCAACTTAATTCTGAACTTGACTCTTCTGAGTGTTGCCTTTGTCAAGTTAATAAGCTTCAGGGAAATTCCTCCATTGTTTCATACAACTTATTTCTCTTGATACTGCCGTATGCTGCCTTAAAGTCAATAAAAATATGAAAGTCTCAATACTATACAAAATATAAATTAAATAAATATTTTTTTTTTGATATTTCACTTCCTTTGTTATTCAATAGATGTCACCACAATAGAAAATATTAATATTACAAAACATAAAAAATAAAAAATACATTTTTTTTCTTAATATTTTGCTTCATTTTTTATTCAATAGATGTCGCCACAATAGAAACTATTTACATTGCAAAATATAAATTCTTCTTCTTGGGCACTACAGCCTATGACAGGCCAATGCCATCCCAATAAGTTTTTGAGATCTTGCTCTATTCTGTCCTATGGCCTTCCAGTTAGTTTTATTCTTATTATCTTTAGGTCCCTCTCGTCTGCGTCCAGCCACCCACTCGGTGAACAACCGCTTTTTCTTGTACCTTCTGGTTTAAAAAAAGTTACTTTTCTGGGGGGGGGGGTTGGTCTTCAGATCTATATAAAGGTGTCCCAGCAATCGAATGCGATTGGCTTTAATAACATGAACTATGTCTGGTTGTTTACACTTTTTATATAACTCATGATTCTGAAGGCTGCGCTATTTGTTATTCTCATTGACTGCACCAAAAATTCTTCTAAGTATCCCTCTCTCAAAAATCAGCAATTTGTTCTCCTCCTTTTTATTAAGAATCCAGCACTCACTGCCATATAGGATCACAGGCCGAGTTTTGTATGTATGTGTTAATTTTTGTCTATTGTTTAAGAAATTTACTTTTTAGTTAGCCTTTTAAACCAAAGTATGACACTTGTTTGCCGTTGCTAAACGACTATCGATTTCAGTATTTATGTCATATTTGCAGGTTTAGTAGTTGTTCCAAGATATTTAAAATCATCAAGATATTTAAAATCTTCAAATTTATAATCATTCACATGCAAGCGCGTTGCCATAGTGAGCCCTCTGTTTATTTCCATATATTTAGTTTAGTCAGCATTAATGGTTAGTCCCATTCCACTACCTGCTACTTCAAGAGCTTTGAATTTCTCCACTACCAGAGGCGTATCTAGAGAAAATGGCGCTTATGGCAATCCTCCCTATCGGCGCCCTTTTTAAAGTATTTTTATTATTATTCTCTATTGTTTAACACATATCTATTATATCTATACACACCAGCATATATATATATGTATGAGTGTGTGTAATACAGTACTGAAGCGCGTTTGATTTGTTAGTTACCAAGGATTTGCTCGAAAATGGATATGCGCAAAGTGATATTATACTGGATAAGTTCATAATTAATAAATTGCCCGAATAACGGAAATAACGGAATTGCCCGAAATAACGGAATTAAATAACGGAAATAACGGAATTAAATAACGGAATTGCCCGAAATGCATTTGCACAT